CACGGCTGACGCTCAACTCCTCAGCTCCAGTGACTCCATCATTGATGGCCTGGCGGGCAAACTTCTCCATCTGGATGTAGTAGAACTCCCTGAAGTTGCTGAACCACTTGATTAGCTGGGAAGTTATGCAGCGGTTAAACTGAAACAAGAGATGACGGGGAACTGTTTAGGATGTCAGTCTGTGTGCTCTTATTCACAAATATCACTTGAAATCCTAAAACATTCTGAGTGGACTTTAAGTGTGTCTGTAGATCTGCTTGTAGTAGGAAGACTTTGGTGTCTGAGCCTCAATAAGTCTCTGGAAATGAGCATGAAGGGAAGTGAAGAAGTGTAAGGATGACAGCAAGTCATTTCACATCAGGGAGTTGAGACTAGAGGCAGTGACTTAAAAAGAGAAGGAAGGGACCAAAAGAGGGAGATGAAAGATGAGAGCAAGAGAGAACATAGGTCAGGCGGTGAGGGAAGATAATAGAGACATTAAAAAAAGACAGCAAGCTTGGGTGTGTGTGTGGTTCATCTTCCCCACTGGGAGCAGACCTCCCCCCCCTATCATAACCCTGAGAGTGGAGGGAGAGGTGGAAAGGGTGGGGGGTGGCGAGACCGCGAACACATAATTGACCAGAAAAACTATTAAGTCATCATCTGAAGCGCCCTAGCCCGCAGGGGGCTCAAACATGTACTTAACCCCATTCACCAATTACACCCTGATTCTCTTCCCTTCGCTGCACCTCCCAGACAGGAAGAATGGAGAAGAAAAAGAGCAAAACAAAGAAAAAGAGAGAAAGAAGCACTGCAGAGGAGGCTGTGGCTAGCTGATATGTCCCGTTCGGCTGGACTCAACAGGCCAAGGTAAACCTATTAAGACACTCAGCTGGTCCTGGCTCTTCTTCTGTCTGGTCTCAGCAGTAAAAACAAACTGTCTAAAGATTCAAACCACTAGATAAAACCTCAGGATGCTGGGTAAAAATGCCTCAGTAAGAGTGCAAATCCAGCTCCTGAAAACATAAAACATCTTTACTTCACTCCCCAATGATTTTCTATAATCTCTCAATTTAAAAATTTGGCCTCTGAAAACTTGATATCCCTAATCATCATCCACACCATTCGTCCAAACACACACACACACACACACACACACACACACACACACACACACCCTCCTCCCTCCCCTCTGCTCTTTTTATGGTGGTGGAAGAATGGGGGGACAAAACGCTGCTAAATGCTGAGCGGACTGCTCGCTGGGGAGGCAGAGCGGTTTTGACATGGAGATTAGGCTCTGGCTATTGTTTGACAACACACAGACACAAAAACATGTGTGCACACTCTTCACGATGTGGGATGGCAGTCAAACACACACAAGCACATGAAAATGGGAGGGTGAGGTAAACGGAACAGAAAGACAAGCAGAAAATTTTGGCAAATCAGAAGATGCGAGGTATTTGGACCAACATGTGAAAGGCCTAAAGGAGAAGGCTAGAATGATCAGCGGATGGCATAACGGCTGAGTGGAAAAGCATAAGTCTGCCTGACATTGTTTGGCCGGGTGAGAGGAGGTGTAGCATGGTGACTGTCCAAAAGTGCAGAGTGAGCATAAATGGGAAAATGTGTGTGTGGGGGGGGGGATGGGTGCAGGTCAGCGCTGTCAGACAATGGTGTTTTGCTAGTGGGTGGGTTTGGGGAGGCTGGTAGGTGGGGGCAGCAAATCGGAACGTGAGCAGTCAGCAAGTTGGGGTCGTGGCATCAGAGAGTCAAACAAACAAACTACTGACACTTACAAATACATCAGCTGCTCGGGGCTATTCTTAAACACACAATGCAGCAGACAGCCCGAGTGCGACAGAACACAAACACAATGTTACAAGTTGTCACTGTAGTTTAAATCTTTCCTTGTGTGCATGATCGGAGAGCATGAATCTGAGATATCAGTGAACTGGTGCTCATCTATACAAGCGTGTGTCCACGCATGCATCTCAGTGCATGTGGAATTGAGCACTACACACTATTAAAGTCAGTGAATGAGTTTCCATCTGTCATGCAGGAGACCTTTGGTGTCACTGTAGCCAAGTGACGGATAGATATGTCACTTTAGAGAAGGGTTACTTTATTATACTCACAGCTCAGGAGAAGATGTATTAAGGCCTGTGTAACTGAACTGAAGTATAGCTCAATTACAATACAGAGCACACACAAATAATATTTACAGCAAATGCAGGTAAATACAGTGAATTACATTATATCATGTGCACACAACATACTCAGGGACGCAGTGTTGGCATGTCCCCAGATCAGTTTCTAGCAGTCTTGGTTCATTAAGTTGCTGGTGGGGGACAGAGACCCCCCGTTAGCAGATAAGGACAAGAGTGTTTAGTGTAAAAGGAGGGAATTGGTTCAAAGGAGCACATCACTGCAGCTCCTTAATCAGAGCTGACAGGGGTCAGCCAGACTTGAGATGCTGCAAGGAAAATGTGGGTCTGTGTGTGTGTGTGTGTGTGTGTGTTGCAGTCAGCACACTGCATTTGAGCGTATGAGTGTGTGTGTGTGTGTGTGTGTGTGTGTGTGTGCGCCTAGCTGAGAGGCAGATGAGAGAAAGACAGCGAGAGCATGTTTCTCACACTCACACTCAAGAGCCTGTTAAAGGTCAGCGCTTAGTGCTAACAGCACAAGATAGAAAGTGGCACACATACACACATGTCCTGCTCCTGCACAGACGCATGCTTAAGTCCAGAATAGGAAAACACTCAAGTATCCTTGGTCTAAACTATATTAATCCCCTGCCAAAAGAATTCAGGCATGTTGACTGACTGTCCCAAACGTCTACTCACACATTTGCTATTGTATCAATATTTTGCTCAAAATTGATTTTACAGTTTTGTATTTGAAATTGTTTTAGGATAAGCATGTTTAGCTGAGAAGTATTTGGATAGAAAGCCAATGATTTCTGTGACATGCTGCTCAACAATGGAGCAGAGAGCACCCAGATGACCTCAGAGTGCTAAGCTACATCCAGAACAACCAGAGACGAGAGCAGAAAAGCAGAGCAGCTTGCCCGGGCCACTGTCTCTCTCTCTCCCCCTCTCTCTCTCGCCCTCTCTTTTGCTCATAAACCCATTCACAGTCATCAGGGCTTTCCAACGTTTCCTGTTTTTGCAGGAGTGAATTGTGGGAGATAATCTCCGGTTGCCTATTGGCTGACTGCACACAAAAAGCGGCCCTGGAAAGCAGGATTTTGTTACTGTGGCGACTCAAAATCCAGCTGCTGGCTTTTCTTTCTCCACAGCCCTGCCGAGGTACATGCCACACCATCAGCAAATAAAAAAAGGAATGACGTACTGTATAGAAAAGGGAAAACCCTCTTGACCTCCACTACTCCACAGCACGACTGGCCCAAATACTGAGGCTTGTCACTAAAAGAGCTACAGAGAGGGAGACAAAAAATGCAGGGTGCGTGTGGGTGTATGCTTGTATAAAAATAAACGACAAATGTATATCTACAATACATCAAGGACCTATAAGCCTGTAATAAACGTACACTCTTCCATTTTACAAAGACAAGAACTTCAGATGACTTCATTAACTGGCTGAATATCTTTATTTAACCAGTTTATTAATCTGCTGTAGCTATTCACCCATCACAAAACCCCGTCTGTAATACTAATGAGATGTCTTAAAGCTAGTGATATGAGACTATAGCAGTACCAACAATGATATTATGACACGCCAAACATTTCAAAAACACCAAAAGTCAAATAAAGTCACCGCTTTCTTAAAAGAAGCTTAATCGAGAGGAACAGCAGCTACAGCGTCCCCCACTTGCTAGGCTAACCCACTTCCCACGTTCATTAGGTTCTTAACCGCCAAGATCTGATTAGTGAAGATTAGTAGAGACCTGATTAGGCTTCAAGGCTTCTGTTCTGAGGCTGAGGACAACCACTCTGTAAGAGGCGTGCTGGCTGAATCTAATTAGATAGTCTCATTCCCATACATGTCTACTAAGTTACAACTCGAGTCCATTGTCCTCTACTGACAACATAAACAAACTGATGTGACTCATAATCCCCTTAACTATCTTGACCTTGTTTGAGTATCTGATAGGGGTGAGTTTGAGCATGTTAGACTATCTGATGGGGCCATTCATGAGGAGTCCACCTTGGTAATGATTAATCAGGAAAATAAAGGAGTGTGATGAAGGCTCAATGAAGAGGGAAGCCGGAGACAGAATTTGTGCAACTGTGTGTCCCACTACCCTGCAGTGCCACCTTTTTATTATCAGCACACACACACACACACACACACACACACACACACACAGACACAACTATTTACATGATGACCAAAGCCCATTAGTCCCAGTTTCAGCCCAGCTGGCCTGGTCCCACCCCCATAACAGAATATACAAAAAACTAAAATCATTTGGTTGTTTGGCTGAGAAGTAAAAAAACAAATAAATAAAAAAACACATCTTACAGGCACCTACTGGCTTTGCCAACATGTACCACATTTTAGAACTAACCAATTAAATGACGGCATCCAAGAGGGGGCAGCTAGGAAAAAAGGGGAACCTTTATCTTCTGATTTGAATAAGATGGCCTGGATCTGTCACAGTGTTTACCCCTCCGTATGGGCTGCATAAAACAACAACACAAACAGCCTTGGTTGTGCGTATGGCCATTGTGTTGTTGTTCTTGTTTTTTGTGAAGCTTATATATTGTGCTTTGTTTTCCCAAATTTCCTTCATTAAACTCCCTGGGGAGCAAATGCTTGTCCTTGCCATGTTTCCTAAACCATCCTGCCTACACCTGCTCAGAAAACCACTCCTCCATCGCTAGGCTCCATCCTCCTCTTTTCCCTCTCCACCCCTCCATTTCTCATCCCACTCATCATCTATAGAATACTCAGACTTTCCAGCTCCCTCATGTAAACCCAGCCAACTTCCTCTTCTTTCATCTTTTGCATAAAATGCTAACTTAGTGAGGGAAAGGGCCTCATTGCAAGACAGACAACTGTACATTGTTCACAGCAACTGAAGCTGCCACATCACAATTAATAAATAAAACTTCCCCTTTTAAAGCATTGATGAATCAGCAAACAACATAAAAAAAAACTCTAAACAACAACTATCTCTGCTATCACCATTTCAAGATTAAGGTACAACAAATGCGTTTGGAAATGTTAAAATAGCAAAGGTGAGAGTCACATTAAAGTTTACCTAAAGGAAATTAATTGGTGGACATTTGGCAAGACTTCTGATAAAGTTTGTAAAGAATCCCTGAAGGAAAAGAGCATGCTTGGACTCACCTTTACATCAGAGAAAAACATCTTGAGCATATTGGAGCTTGGGTAGCGAGTGTAGAAAAACATGAGTTTGGCCTTCTTCAGATGGTTGGGAGACAGACCCTCCTGGATCTGAAACACTGCCATTAAGGACATTAACAACTGTTTGGAGGGAAGACAACTTATGGTAGATAAAGTAAACAGTAGTCACTGATGTTATCACAAATACAATATATATTTGCTTATTATTGGCAGTAAGTATGGCAAGAAATTATCATTTGGATGACAGGTAACCAAATTTTCTTTTGGCCATGAGTGTGAAGTGGCTGAAGAGGGTTGCAGAAGACAGTGCACCAAAGCAAGACCATTTGCTTGCAATTAGCATCATCCATATCAGGTGTGAGAGCGTCACGGTAAATAAAACGCTGGCCAGCACTACAGCCGATTCTTTTACATGAGGAGGCTCATTTCACAGTCAAAGTAAGCGAACGCCTTTGCCTACACCCCACGCTAACCTCCACCCAAAAAAAGGAAGAAGAAAAAAGGAGACATTTGCATATCACAGACAAAGACAGCAGTTAACGCCAGTGACAGGCAAGAAGGCCTAATGGTTTGGCGACAACACATGCCAAGCCTGAATATGGCTGTCTGATGCTGGCTTCTTATCAGTGATAAAACAAGGTCTAGGGGATACTCCCAAACACTGGCCCCAGTGTAAATTCTTCTTACACTCACATAGGTCATATTTAAATATGTGTCAGAAACCTTGTCTTTCTAATGGATCGCCTGGACTGAACAGCAGCGAGGATGGAGATGGGCTGGTTGGGGCACCTTGAGGGATAGTATGGTTCCAACCTTCAATTACATCCCCGTCCTCCTCCCTCTGCTCCACCCATATCCCCCAAACTCTCTGCTGCTGCCAAAGCCTTGGAGGAGCAAAAGGAGGAGGAGGAGAAGGAGAAGAGGGGCTCTGAGGCTTTGGGCTCAGCCAGTGATGGGGGGGGACTGAAACACATCTGCGCCACCGAACGGCCCAAGCCATTTCCATGGTGAATTAACAGCCGTATAATGCATCTGATAATATCAATCTGGAGGATAAGACATTGAAAAGGGAACAGGCATGGGGGCAGGTTGCGTGCTAAAACCTCAGGCTGTTTCAACAAGGGTTTTCATCACACTGAAGTAAGACAGGAATTTAATTAAAACTAAGCACAAGATACAGGAACACTATTTACACTGAGGTGGAGAAAACACACCACTTGATGTGGTTTATAATCTACAAGGCTGGTTGTGATAGTAAAAATTGGTCAAGTGTCCAGATGTAGCTATAACTACAGAACAGGAAGAAGGCCTCAGCTGCTAAATTGGATTGCCCTTGGCCTCGGGGTTACACAGGCAAAGCCAGCAAATGTTGAACCACGCTGGGTTGGCTTCTTAAAGACCCTGTCTACTTTGTCTGAATCAGTCAGAGAGAGGGAGTGAGAGAGGGTTGGTTGTATCCGCAGCTAGGTCTTGTGGGGGAAACCCTGGCAGACTTTGTCAGGCCTGGCCAAAAGAGCAGCACTTCACTCTCCACACCATACCATCTGCTCCAAGTGGAGGGGATACAATAGATCCTTAGACACAGAGAGGCAGAGGGAGAGACAGAGGAAAAAGAGAGCTTTTTTCAGTAAGACAAGGTGGGATTTGTTTGCTATAAGAGCGGTGCACTTACACTTAGACTCACTTTTTCAATTAGCATTAGTATCACTTTCCTCTTATCAATGAAAATAAACATTATTTTAAATAAAGATGTCAACATTTTACATCTTCAGCCATAAACTCAGTATCACCTCCCTTCAGATGACAGTTAAGAAGCTTCATATCTCCTGATTAGGTTTTTTTCATCCACAATTCACTCACAGCTTGCAAATGTAATTGTGATTGGACTTAGGGGTGACGTGCAAGGCTATTATTTTGTCATGATGGTGCACTCATACCAGCTGGCCCACTGTTCGCCTGCCACATCTGACAAGACATCATCATTCTCACAACACCTCCCCAAAGCCCAAAGTCATGAGAGGAAAATAGCTGCTGCACTTCCTAATTCCAGGTGTAAGAACAAGAATATTTGGAGTCAGATTGAGGACAAATGAGGAAAATGATAGCAGCCATCTGCTTCTTAATGCAGGAGAGAGCTGGTGAACTTGTACAAACCTTGCAAAATGTCTGACAAGCTGTTTCTGACTTCTGATGCTCAAAAAAAAAAAAAAAAGAAACCAACAGAAAGTCTACATCAGTGCAACTGGCTATAAACACAGAGACAGTACAACTCTAAATAATCTGATTCATAATTGCCAAGTAAATATTGTAAATGTCAAACTTTGTACCTAAACCTATGGAATAAATGCTGGGATTCAAAAATAGAAGATGAAAAAGAAAAGAAAAACAGCACATGTGGACATGTTGTTCTGTCTATTCTTTCCATTTAGGAGAGTACATCTGTTAAAGCCTTGAATTTATAAATGCTACAATGAAAGCCACAGCATCTGGCATATGTGGTTATTGTTTGATTGTTTTCTACTTTCTCAGTCTCTGTACGTCTCTCACTCCTTTTCTCTTTTCATCCCTCCATCGGGAGCCTGTAGAAGCAAAGGATTATGGATCTCTGGAAAGCGTTCACCCTTGGGTCAGAAGACAAGACAAGGCGAGGTAATGAAAGATAAACAGCTCGCTGCAAACACCTGTTAACGTCCGCTTCAAAGAAAAGACAGGGAGGAGGGGGGTTTGCAGGGAGGGAAAACAAAAAAAGAAGTATTTGGCTGCCAAGCAACAGCCGAAGGGCCCCCCGGGCTGTTGACAGATCTTTATGAAATGAAAAAAAGAGAAAAGAAACGACAATGATTGTGGGCTTTTTACAACAGCGATGGTTGATAAGAGGAACACAAGAGAAAACAGAGGCAATCATAAATATACATCTTTACCGAGTCCTCAGGCAAACCTTTTGTGACATGCACACACAAAAAGACACACATGATAAAGACAAGGCCCTCGGATGCATGCAATAGCAAAAACAAGGGATCCAAAGTGTTAAAAAGAACTTAACTAATATATCCACCACAGGTAATAGGCTGCAGGATTACTTTCTTGAACATGTAATAAATGCTCATCATATGGAAACCAGAGTGACACAAATCAAACTTTTATAAGGGTAAGGGGGTGTTGAATACATAGTGACTAAGGAGGTACAGAGGACGAAGACAGGGTACTGAATGTATCTGTTTAAGCTATTAGTCCTGGGTCCCCAGGGGATTTAATTTGAGCCTCCCATAGGGGATAACCTCCTTACCCGCAGGGCATGATTGGGGCACACTTGGGTTAAACTATAAGGAAGGCCATATAACACCATTGTGTGCCAAGTTTCTGGAAGCTATTCCCCACTGTGTTCTTTCAGGCCATTTTTTAATAAAAGGAACTGGGGCAGTAAATGTCGTGGAGGCCTAATCTTTGTGAGTAAGTGATATGTGACAAGAAAGCTTTTAAAGCACTTAGGATTGAAGATGGACGAAAAGTCAATGGTGCTGTGAGAAGGAAGGGGTATGAGTATAAAAATAAATACAACAATGCAGTACAATGGAGAAGAGAACAGCAGTGGGAGGAAAAGTGATTCATCTACAATTTCTCTGTTTCTTAGGCTAGTTTCAAACTGCCTCAAAAAGATTTGATTTTTATCTCTCTGTGGTTCAGGTGCAATGTTTCGCACCTGTCTCTAGTGGGATTTACCAGGCAAAATCTGATTTTTGCTGGTTTACACAGGCATGAGTTTGGTCATCAGGGTCGCTGTCATACTCACTTATTATTACTTTTCAGACTCTTCTTAACACACTCTCTCACATCATGTTGTTAAAGGATACATTGCTGCCTGAGTAGGGGGAGATGTCAGCCATGTCCTGGAGGTCACTGCACTCAGACTTGATGAGGGACAGGGAGAGACCCTCCACTGTGCTGCCAGGGTGCGCTGGCGAACAAGAGCGATGGTGGTGCCCCAGGTGGTGCCCTGATGCCATCTTGGTCCTCAGGCTGGTGGTCTCCCGTGACAGATCCATGGAGTCTGGTGAGGAGCGGTCCTTGCCTGTGTATCCACCTGTGGGCGCACCAAGGGGACCCTGGAAAGGGTAGCCCATGAGAGGCAATGGAAAGGGGTGTCTAAAGGATGGAGGGCTGAAGCCCATAGAGGCAGAGAGCGAGGAGGGGTGAAGAGCAGGGTGGTGGTGACCACCATGGGCACCTATAGCTGAAGACTGGTGGTGGTGCTCACTGGGTGTCTTCCTCACGACTAAGGGCAGCGCCTCAGTTTGGTCACTGGTAGTACCTGGCATCCCAGGCATGCTGGCAAAGGAGTCGAGTGGATTGGGAATGATGACATCATTGAAGCACTGCAGCCTCTGGTTGGCAGTGTGAAAGTTGGGGGTGTCTCCATTGACAGTGGTGGGAAATCTTTCAGGAGGTATGGAAAGTGGGGGGAAGGCCTGCTGAGGTGTAGGACGTGGAGGCTTGGCAAAGACCTTAACCACTGTGTCCACCACCTGTGTCATCGCTGAATTGAGTTCCTGCTTCAGTGTTTCTGCCAGTTGTTTTCCTTCAGTGTGCATGGAGGAGCCTGGACCTCCCTGTCCTTTGTTTCGACCAAGCCCCTCTCTTCTAGGCTTCTCTCTGTCAGCAAGCAGGGCCTGCTCCTGAAGCAATGCCCGTGCCCGGTCCAGGAAATGGCCTGGGTCCAAGTCAGACATCTCATTGTCTGAGCGCAAGTCATCTCCACCCCGGTCATCTCCTCCAGTGTCAGACCTGGCTGGGCTGTCCTCCGACATGTTTCCTATGTCATTGTGGAGGTCGTTGTGGAGGTCGTTGTGCTCTGAGTCATCGGTTGAGTCATAGATCTGAAAGAACTTCTCCTGCAGCTGGCGTAGCTGTTTCTGCATGTCCTCCAGCTGCAGCTTCAGCTGCCGTCGTTCTTCCTGCTTCTGTTCCTTCCTTTGGCACACCAGCTGGGTGAAGCTCTGCTGTTGTTGCTGAGGCAGACGCTGCTTACGCTTGTTCTCTCGACTGCTACCGCTCCCGCTGCACACCTCACCTCCTCGTGGGCTGCTGGGGGCTTGCTGCTGAGACTGAGGAGGTGGACAGTCTAGTTCCATCTCCCGTCCTCCATCCATCTCATGGTCACGCTCATGACGGGAAGCAGCAGGCACCACCACACTGGGTGAGTGGCTCATACCACGTATAATATTCTCTACACGGGCTCGCTTGGCACGCAGGTGTTCATCACTGAGACGTTCAATGTCAAAGGTGGCCAGACCAGGTGGACGTCCAAATGGTGACAAGCACTCTTGAGGGGTGCTGTCCTGGGAGGAGTTACTACAGGCATCCTCCTGAGGAGCATCTGAGCTTGTATTGGAGAGACCTGATCCGGGGAAGCCTGAGTCCCCTCTATCACCCCTATCCCCTCTTTCTCCCCTCTCAGGCCCTCCTCCATTTTTAGCCATATTATTCTTGAGAAGTTGAGAGATAATGGTGGTGCCAGGAAAGGGCATCATGGTGTCCTCGTATGAGTTAGCCCTCTTCAGCAGCTTTCGGAGTACATTGGATTTGGACTCACTGTCATTGGCTGACATAACGCCAGGCCCACCATGTGGCTGTACTACAGAGCACTCCATGGAGTCGGTGTCTGATCCGGGGTGAGAGTGGGAGCTCAGAGAGTTCATGGCACTGAAAATGGCTGCTTTGGCGCGGGCAATGTTATCAGTGGTTACTATTGTGGCTGCTGCAGAGGAGCCTGTGCTGCCCACGGTCCTCTTAACACCAATGTCCACACGTCTTCGCTTGGTCTGTCTGTTTAGGAGGGAGTCGCTGTCATGGTCCGGCATCACGGGCTGCTGCTATTGGGCCATATCCCACAAACTCAGTCCTCTAGGATCAAAGCCTCTGAGTACCTGTGGGTGAAACATTTTACAGATGCATCACTCACCAAAATGAAAATATTTTCAGAATGTAAGTCACTCACTCACTCAGGCAGTGTCCTCAACCACTTCAGTATCAAAACTGAATCTACATTAAACAAAAAAGCGTGAAGGTTTTAGATAAAACTACAACAATCTAAATCTGTCAACCTTTACAAAACTGCATTAGCTGTTATGAATATAAGCTGAAGAGTTTTTTTTTTTTTCTCAAGCCAGCAGCCAATCCCTTCTAATTTCTACAAGGACATGAGACATCCGTGATTTCATTAAAGGAGTACGGACCAATGACAGAGGGGTAAAGGGAGCAGGCGAGATGGGGTCAGAATCAGGTCTTGGCTTGACATTCCAGGGCAAAGTCCTACATTTTATCTTGTCCCCTGTTACACACTGCACAACGCTGAACCAGTTCCCACGAAACACAAAGCTGCATAAAATTATGTTAATTACTTACGTACTTGTCCTCAATTCCATGTGTGTGTGTTTTAAGCCAACATTGGAGCTATTAACTCAGTAAATAAAAAGAATAGGGTTATCTTTTTTAAAAAGCTATACAAGGAGAAGCAATGCACATTGTCCATGTTGTTATACGACCCTCTACTAAATTCTATTAGTGAGCTATTATTTGATAAACTTAAAAAAATATTCAACTTTTAAAACCATGTTTTGACATTGCGTAATTTTAAAATTCAAGTGCTGGACTTACGCTGATCAATATGGCCATCATATCTTAAGCAATTGAGAGAGTGACACATAAAAGAAACACAAAATAAGGCTATTGATTTTGGTGCCAGCGTGAACTCAATTCTATGTTTTTTGTTTGTCTTTTCATCTGGCAAGGGCAGTTAATTCTGCTCAAATGAATAGGTCACAGGGGTCAACTCTGGCAAGGAGCAACTTAAAGCGCTCTTACAAAAACCCTAATGCCTCTCTGAAAGCAAAACGTTTTGTCAGTGCTGGTCAGCATCAGAAACGCTACGTAAGCAGCGGTGGCAGTGATAGTCAAAGCCAGAGGCATCCAATCTCAAATATAGTGATGTTATCCGAAAACAACCGAAACTGCATGTTTGATGTAAAAAATGTAAATATTTCTGACGTTAGTAAATTTAAACATTTGACAGTGTTTCTTTAACAACATAACATGGCAAACAATTTACATCTTCCTTTTTGCAGCTTTCAGGAAAACGCAGACCTTGTTAAAATTCACAGAGGCTCAGTGAAAAATAGAAGATAACAAATACAAGGAAAAGCTGTTTAAATTTTTCAGGGTCCAAATAAACACAAACGATACAATGATTCAGGTTGAGATCTGCAAAGCAGTGCAATTTTTTAATTTTAAGTACAAAAGTATCTGAACTGATTCAGATCTATATTTAATTTTGATATAATATTTTGAGACAAAAGTCAATCAGAGACATTTATTCTATAAGCTCTGGTTCAGCGGTAGGTGGGGGCCAACAGGGAAACGAAACTGTTGTGAGATTGACCAACATTTGTTTCAATCGATCGTTAAAAGAAATTGTATCATGTTCACGTTATCACTGCATGTGAAAAGAGCAGCTTCTTTCATGGCAGAGACACATTCACACTGCACACACACACACACACACATACACACACACACAACTTTGCTCTTGGCTTTGTTAGAAGTGTAATGCACCATTCACTTCACATACACTGCCAGGTTTTTTGGTTTCAAGCAACATTTTGTAAAGTGACATTTTCAAAATTACCAGGATGGATTAAATGTGTTTTCCCTAGAAACCTGACCTGCTATAATAAAACTCACTGACAAATGACTTTGGCTCAAGTCTTGACAGCCATATCCAGCAGAACAGACAAGAGGTGATACATCTCCAGGAAAAAAAACCCTTGACTTGATCGCTTCATGAACTTAACAGCGAGCTTGAAATAGTCATCAGCACCTGTCTTTTCCACCGGCGCACCTGTCTCCCATTGCCCATGCGCACTCTCTCCCTCTGTCTGTCTCTCTCTCTCTCTCTCTCTCTCTCTCTCCTAAGAACTGTTCAACAATTTCAAGCATGTGAACTACATGTACAAAGACCCCATCTTTCTTTACTAGAAATGTCATATCCTTATTTTAAACCCTAAACCGAACAAATTATTTAGCAACTAAGAAAAATAAGGTAGAAAAATAGTAAGTGAACTTCATTTCTGAAGCTTGGCATAAATTAAAATAATGTAAAGTTTCCAAAAGTTTTGGGAACTAAACTGAAAGTCTAACAACACTTGCGTTGTAGCAAATGTGTGATCTAGCTGTTTCTGTGCACATCTGCCAGTGGACTAAGATAGCCTACCAGCACCTTTAGAGGAAAGAGTTGCACACATGTACGACAACATAGGCCAGATTCACAAAATTAAAGAACTGACAAGCTCCGCAACCACCCGGACAACGATTTTGTGCCAATAAAAAGGCATGGATGAGGAGTTGAAATACGATGTAAGCCAAACAAAGAGGCCAGGGCACATTTCGGTAAATACCACTGAATCAAAGTTTCCAACTAATATGAACTGAATTGTGTTTATCGTTGCCAAAAAGAAAAAGAAAAGACGCTTTACAAACTTACTTCGCAAAGTTGCAAATCAACTTGATCTCCGCTTTGACGAGGAAGGTTGGGCTACCGTCCGCAAGTCATCCTCGCAAAAATACAGGCTGCTCACGCAACTTTTACCACATATCAAGATGAAGGGAGCGAAACACAGCAAATGATCTCGTGCGGATATGAAATACTGTTGATCACCACAATAAATTTCCCCGTTAACGGTGTTTGGTTTGTTTATTTTTTTCCGCCCACCGTGCGCAGGCGAGGCAGAACAAGAACAAGAGAGGGAGGCATCCGAGGACAAGGTTACTTACCCTTTAGATGAAGAGAGGGACAACCTGAACTCCTACGGCAAAAGAGAGAATATACACAGAGCACGGTGGATTGTCGGGTGCTGGGATGTAATAGTTTCTCAGAGAAGTAAGAGCTGGAATAAAGTCAGCGACGCGGGCGAAAGGAACAAAACTGGAAAAATATAGAAGATGAAAAGAGCTTATGCGCGTCGGTCTCTCCCTCTATCCTCTGCTGTGACTAAAAGAGTAAGAGACATAGAAAGAGTGCGAGAGAGAGAGAGACTGCGTGTGTGTGCATCTCCGAGGCGCACTGGATGTAGAGGACTGGATGCTGGAGCGCTCCTCCGCCACAAAAGATTCACTTTAAGACGCGGCTGAAGGAAACAGGAAGACGTGCGCGTCATGGGCGGCGTGATGTAACTGTCACAACCTACCAATAAGAAGCGTCCGTCCGGTCCGGAGAACAACGCACTGAACTTGACCAGAGAATGGGACTTGAGCATGCCACTAAAGAGAGAGAGAGAGGAAAAAAGGAAATACTACTCTTACTAAACTCTTTCTTCTCAAATCACCGACTGCGCGAGTAAGAATCATTACGCACTTTGACATTACACTGCCTAAGCCGAAATAAAACACATAGCCTGCATTTTATTATCTTACTCATTCTAATATTCAAGTCTTAAAAGGGACCGTTTCTATAATAAAAGTGCCACTGCTGCTTGATTCCAATAAGTCAGACAAGACAGAGTAATTTCACAACGATAACTGTTAAGAAAATTCATAAAACCAGTTTTGTTTTGCCAACTGTTGTAAATTTATTCATTTCATTTAAGAAAAAAGTCACGATTTGAAGATGAATGTAACATTAAATGAAGTGTGAAGGCTTGGAAGTTTGTGTCCTTTAATGCAAATGGGTCCAGACATCTTCCAGTTTTTCTTGTGGCAGCAAAATAACAGATGAACAGTCTTTATGACTTTTTCAGCGCTTAATTGACGCATGTTTCCATTGTGCTTAGAAGAGTCTGTTAAAACACATCGACACTCCTTCATGCCCAGTCAGCTTTGTAATTTGATACCTGTACACATCTAAATAACGATGCAGACCATATTTATATTTTAAACATTAGTGTGTGCATTTTTTTTTTTGTCAAAGCCAACTCCACATTTAGATTCCGGTTTCTCCAAGGGACGAACATTAGTGGGTCACTTGGGTATTGGAGGTTCAAAGTGGCATGTAGAGATATTTTACGCACAGAGTTTTCTCATTGGTTGCAGCAAAGTCTGATTTAAAAACAAGCAAGGCAGAACAGAGGCTCCCAGATTTGCTTTGGAATTCAGATTATCCAGAGAAGCCAGTATCTGAGAAGAGCTAAACGTCTCTTTGTGAAATGCTCGGATGAGAGTGGAATATCATCATGAAACGTCTGTCACTGGATCTGCAGCCTGCTGCCACTCAAATACCCCGGTGCGTAAAGATTGCACTGCTATCACAAACGAATTGGTAAAACTGATAGTAGATTGGAGCAAAATCCACCTTTTTTGTTTGAGAATCGAAAGATTTTTAAGTTTATTAAAAATTTTATCCGTTCGAAAATGTTCCCTTTCTGTAACGCTGAACCAATGCGGACACTGACATCTGATCCTTTCCACAGAACAACCTGTTTGACGCTTCTGATTTATTAAATGATGACGGCTGACCGAGCGAATCCTCCTGCTTTCTTAAAAACTAGGTACTTACAGCTGCAATTTTTGCGCTCTGCAAGTACGTCTTGGCCTTCGACCTGCACAACAGGTGTACGCACAAATAGTTTGGGAATTTTCTTTAGTGTTACTGAAATGCATGTTTTATGCAGTAGAATTATATTTCCATCGATTGTAACTACATTTCTAATCGAGGTCACTTTCATCTGTATTTCAGCTCAGCCTGCTTTCCTGAAATTAGAGAAACATATTAAGCACATTCAAGGTATCGACATTCACACTACTAGGAAATGTACAAACATTATTATTATTGTTGTTGTTGTTGTTGATCAATTTGCGTTTATTCATTTGGGTCAATTTGCTGAAACCAATTAAGAAAAGGATTTTCAGATGGGCATTGCTTTTGTCCTTTTCTCCCAGCTTTTCTCTTTGCACACAGAATCAGCTTTTTTTTTGTAATCCTCTGCACAAACAGGATCCTAAAGTACTTAACGAGAAATCTTATTTTCCATATGCCTCTCTGTCAGGTGCCAGAAAGGAAAGGCGAGTCTCTTTTCCATGTCGCAAGCAAGTGTTATTAGGACGAATGAATTGCAACGAAGTCAGCAAAGTTTAGTGTCTGGAGTGTCTTTTCCAAAGCAGGTGTCCCGGTCCCCTGCTTCCCTCGCTGGCCTATGCTGATTTGGCCTCGGCTCCCCTGGGTGCCATCCGTGCGCACACAGGCTGGAAAAACAGGCCGGGACATTAAAGAAACGCGTGTTTGGAAAAGGAAGACTCGGATGAGGTGTAGAGGAAACGTGCTGGTTAACACTGGCTGCTCTTATCTCGGCCCATTCCAGGTGGATCAACGCGTGTATTTATTTCAAACTCACTTTCCCCCTTTCGGTCGAGTGTGACACACCTTGATGCCCAAGACTGATAATGCGCTCTGGCGCTGCGCACTGATGGCTGAATGTACTGAGATATTTATTAGACTAGGGCCCAAATGCAGGAGGAGAAAGGCAATAAAAGCTGTATTTCTCCCAGAGGTGTTGTAAAGGTACGTTTTTATCACATTCAGTCCACAATTAAGTGGTAATAAGTACGTACGCGGTGATGGTATGCCAGAGGTGAGAAGAGCCAGTGGCCTATTTTTCCTCAGTATAAATTTTTATCAACTAGGGGTCAACTTTCTATTATTATTATTATCATTATTATTATTCCAGGTTTCCAAACAAAATTATTTTATACTGTCTTTCGTTTCATTTGTTGAGATTTGAGAGCAGAAAATTAACAAACATGATCAAACCCTAAATTAAAGATGCTCGAATTATTATTGAAAGAATGAATATTTTCAGGAGAAGAAGCAATCTCTTCTTGAGCAGCAGTGGTTATAAAAATGACCTTGATCAGATAATGACTTGATGAGCTCCTACAGCAGCTCCATTTCTTTTCACAGACAGTTTTTAGAGAAATGAGAGGGAGAAAGAGAGAGAAAGAGAGAGAGCTATTTGCGCAAACACAAGCAGAGAGAGGGATGTAGCGCTAAAAGCTGTTTTGTTCCGGAGAGGTCTCCGGGTCCCCGAATAAAAAGGTTTAGGAGACAGGACAGAGGAGAGGACACGAGTGGAGAGTAGAGGAGGATGCATGATTTGCCCGAGTGTAATAAACGAGTAGGCGTCGACTCTCAGATCCTCTAAGTTCTTGTTGGGTCTCATGTTCAGGACTTAATGTATTCAGCTTTCACCGTCCACAGCAAGAATGAGGATGCGGCGGGAAAATACACACTTGTTTCTCTTGTCAAGGCACACTCCATTTCGATAAAGGAGTCTGTCTGACCTGAACGTGATATAAGCAAAGTCTCTTGTGTCTGTGTTGGAGTAAAATAACAGCAATTTACATAGAAATGATTATTAGTCATATTACCTCTTTGCTGCCAGGGCCCCTGTAGCTGGCACAGTGTGCACCCCCGTGACCCACGTCCCTCTTTCTAGGCTACAAGTGATGGTTATGGAGGCGCTCGTGTGTGTGTGTGTGTGTGTGTGTGTGTGTGTGTGTGTGCGTGAGAGAGAAAGAGAGAGAGAGAGAAGTTGGTCATTCTCTGTGGCCCGTTTTAAGCGTGCGGTGTAATGAGACAGCATACAATACACACACTCTCTCTTTCAGTATTTGCATGGATGGGTAGAAGTAAATGTATGACAATGTAAAGACAGCGTGACAGACAAAGGCGAGAAGACAAACTAAACACCAAGCAACCCTAATGCTAGGTTAAATAATACATTTCAATAATATGTGAAAGGGAAACATTGTTTTTATACTCACAAGAATTTGCATCCACATTGTGAATCACCACCTTGACTTTTCTTCACCGGTTTCCACACACACATGGTCAGTCTAAGTGATAAAATAACAGTTTTGCATCACACTTCCCTGTTTACAACATTTGGATATAATCACGTTTGCTCCAACATTAAATAAGTCTCCATATCAGATCTGCTTGGAAGTAATAGGCCATTACTCACTGAGGCTGATGGGAACATGGCTGCTGTCAAGCTCATTAAAACTATACATATAAACGTCGTAACGGTCTTAGCCATGTGTAAAATCCTTGAAATTATCTATATACCGTATTTCACATTTTTGGCAGAAAATAACACAGTCATTTCCGCAAAGTCTGACTTGATTCCACATGTCTTACAAACAACCTTGGAAGTATACAAATGTTTAAAATCACACCCCATGGCAGGAGTTAGGCTAAAGTTAACAATAATGAAGGGGGCGCGCGTGAGCACGCGCGCGCACACACACACACACGCCTTGGAGGTGCTTGGGCAGACAGACATGCTGGGAAATCGCCTGGAACTGTATTAAGCCTGACGTCCTTAAAACAAACAATGGCACCATGAAATAAGGGCTTAGCGCTCAAAGTCAAAGATTCCCTTCAGCAACTCTCCCTGTTTATCTCTCCCTTTATCTGACACACACACACACACACACACACACTCACTCACTCACCAATTCTTGGGGCTTACACACTCAGGCTCGCAGCTCCGTTGGGAGATGACCAACTTTGCTCCTGTGAACTCTCACCTGTCAACATGGAGCAGAGGACTTTACTTGGTAAACACACAAGGACTTTAGCAGTTTACCTCTGGCCGTGACTTAGCCTTTTTTTTTTTTTTACTGCAAGGCCGCGGTCACAGCTGGTTCTCCGGATCCTCTCAGTGCGTTTCCAGGATATGTCCACGCCAAACTCCATTCACCAATGCTACCATTTTAATGCTGCATTTCATAGGCTTCACATTTTGTTAAACATTAACTGTCTTATTTTCTGAGAACGTGTGTTCTGTCACTAGACTACATCCGGCCAACATCCAAATTGGCCTGATGTAACCAAAATGACCTGTGGGTGAACCTCTAGATTTAGTCCACCTTGCACTCTACCGCCCCACGGTGTCGACTCTTTTTAGGAGCGCTTGTGGAAATAAGGATAAACAGTTAAAACGGTTGTAATTTAATTAAAGTAGGTATTTTTTTGTGTATTCAACGAATACCGAATTAAGTATCAAATTTAACTGATTCATTTAATGCCTTCGATCTTTTTCTAAGAGGCACGAATTTGATGTACACACATAAGACTACGCAAATTTACACATTTATAAATGAAGCGTCGGTCTCTGCGCTTTTCCTTTATAGCTTTCCATGTCCATTATTACCCTCCACTACTGGCTACTGCCTAAAAACACGGGCTGTGGCAGATAAGCGGCGGTCTGTTTTCACTCCTCTGATCAGAGGTAATTATATTTGTTGGCGTGGAGGTAAGTGTTCCTCCCCGGGGGGCGTATTGTACTCGACTCACTCCATGTCATAAAATAAAATTACAAGGAAAGGAGAAGATATCCTACAATAACAGAGGCGAGTCGTAAAATCAAAGAGTGGCTAAATTAAATCTGAAGGGAAAACCCTCACGGAAAATACATTAGGGCTATGATGAACGGAGGCAGGGTGCTTCAAATAAAACGCAGGTTAATGAGTTTTTAATAGCTATATGGTTG